AATGCAGTTGGTGAGACACAGGATCAAGTTGCCCAAAGAAGATGTGGGTGCCCCATCATTAGAAGTGTTCAAGGACAGGTTAGATGGGCCTTTGAGCAACCTGATCTAGTGAAAGATGTCCCTGCCCATGGAAGAGTGGTTGGACTGGATCACCTTTGATGGTCCCTCCAATCCAACCTATTATTTGCTTCTATGATTCTACAAGGATCTAAATGATTTGGTTTTAAACCACTAAACCAATAATCATCTGGTACTTTTTAAGCTGAGCATGATTTCAAGTCCTCCATCAGCAATGTTTGTAAGGGAACTGAGTGGCAAAGAACTTAGCAGGGAGAATAGACAGGGTTTGCTGCTTTCTTTGACATCCTAGTCCAAAGAAGAGAGTGGATTTCCAATGTAGAGATTTCTACACATAACAGAAGAAATCCAGACTCCGCACACTGTAAACAAACATTATTAATAATATTTTTTTTAAAGGAGAAATCATATGATTTTGTACTTCTTCACTGAGACTATTAAAATTTTCTGAATGTGAACCTCAACTGCATGTTGGATATTAAGGATTTATATTAAATCTATGATTTTATTTTTGTTTTTCTTCATAGTTTAATACGTGCACTGAAAAGAGAAAGATAAGATGGGACAAAGACATAAGAAAAAAATTTAGCCTATGCCTCTGCAACTTAAGCATGTCTTGTAGCTTGTAATTTTCAAATATCAGGGCAGCAAATGAATGTCGATAAGGCTGCCTCTGGCTAGGGCAGCAGGAGCTTTCCTCAGCTAGAAGCTATTCGTCCACATAGCAAATCCTTCCCCCCCACTACAGAATATGAAAGGAAATAATTAGGTCAGCCTTGTGGTGTTAAAGCACGCTAAGTTTGCAACCACAAATAGAATTATTTAAAACAGTTAGTGATATGTTTGAAACAGTAATAATATTCTTTCTATTTTTCCAGGTTTTCCCAGTGCTTTCCCTGCTATGAATGCTTCACTGTGTTTTCACTGAGTGTAAAAAAGGAAAAAAAGCCCAGCACCAAGAATAGACTAGGAACCCTACAGTAACAAAACAGCAGCCTTGCAGGAAAAAGGGAAAAATTAGCTGGTTTAAGTTTCCAGGAGAGCATTAGGAAAAACTTAAATTAAAATTATTTTCTAGACAACCTGGAAAATTCAGCAACACTGTTTCTTTTTAATTAGTTTCTGAGATTACCCCCCCTGCTGAGTCATCGGTTGCCTAGACTCTCAGGGAAAATGAGGACAATTTTATCTGTTTGCAATTGGTAGACTGGATCCTTTTCCCAGCTCTCCTTACATCATAATTTTATAATTGGCTTACCACAGCAAAGGTGTGCTTACAAAACAAAGTATATATACATAGTTACAATAACTAGAACTCTTTTCCATTATGTTTCCAGACCTTATTAGAAAAGGGAATAAAAAACTTTGCATAAAATAATCTTTCTCCACACTCAGAGAAATTGAGTTGGGTGGCACAGCGTAAAGTTTCTATTCATAAAGTAATTATTAATTTTACAGCCTTTCCAGCTACTTTGAGCTCCCTTTTTCAGTCATGAAAAAGAGATTTAAGTAGGTTATCTGGGTTAGAGTAAAAAAAAAAAAAACAGTTCTGCACCCTCTTCCCCAACATTTTATCCTGAGGACAGCTTAGCAGAAAAAGAGAATCCAGTTTTGGGATTTTACGTACTGCACTTGGCACATCTGAAACGCATTTTGCTGGGGCAGGACATTGGAAAAGAGTCAAAAGACCTGGCTCAGGCATCCACAGATTGCACGGCCTCAAGCAACTCATTTGCCTTTTGTGCCCAATGTATTCTCTTTTTTATGACGTATCGTAACATATGATGTCATTCATGGCAATTAAACATGGAGGGAATTGGGGTGGGGTGTGTGTCCAAAGTTGCCCTTGCTTGGGTACCATCTGGGCATCATTCTGCTGGTGGGAGGTGCTGAGTGATTGCCTTTGCATCACTTTCTTTTTTCATTCTTCATATATTAAACTAGACTCACTTTTTCCCCTTGCTTTTGCCCTCCCTGTGTCTCTGTGAGGAGTGAGCGAATGACAGGGCAGGGGCTGACCTGCCAGCCAGGGACAACCCATCGCAGCCTCAAACTGCTGTAGGACATGGACGTGCATTGAGTGAGCATTGCTCTGTGCTTCTTCTGTTCTTCTGGTCTGCTGTATCTGCTGCATCTTTATACATTTTACTTATTATCAGAGACAGAATACAGGACTGTGAACAACTGATCTTGCCCAGTACAGCCATTTTACAGCCTTACTCCAGTAACCATTTATGTGTCATTGCTTAATTTCTGCCATTATTTCACAACTCCTTTTCATGTACTGTAACTCTTTTTCAACAGTGGTTGGAGTCAGGGCTGAGATCAGCTTTCCTTTATATAGAAAAACATATGTCTTCCTTATGAATACCTCACAAGCCACCCAAAGCCAAATTCCGAGGTGATTTAACAAATTCATGGGAAATTTTTAATGCAGCACTACAAACTTAAGAGAAATTAAATTGTTCCTTATTTCAGTGGAATTCTACCAACAAAACTTACCTCCACTTAAACTGTATTTAACGGGGACTCCTGTCATTACAGCAAAAACATTCAGTCCCTTCAGTTTGTTTTCCAGTTAGTTCTACAGCTATGGTCATGTACATGCTCATCTGCTTTTCCTCATTCAGAAAATTCATTCTCCATACAGGATGGGCAGCTTTTGAACTGTCAAATACTTGCTTACTTATGCATTGTCCTTCCGCAGAGTTTGATACTCTGACATGGCCGATATGGTTGTGTTCTCCTTCCATGACAGGCAGCAAGGTGCCAATCTGGGTAAAAAATTTTTACTTCAGAGCTCTTTGCTTATGTTCTGACTCCAGTTTCCCAGGCGACATTGAGTAAACAAGCAGTAAACAAAAGCAGTTAGTTTCTAAGCTGGCTGGAGTGTCCACTCCCACAACCTAAGGTTGCATCTGAAGCTATTACCCACAGTTGCTTGCCCTGTCAATGAAGACTACCCTGGAGATCAGGGAGAGAAGAGAGAAGAATGTATAAATGCCTTGTCTTCCCAGCGTGGATGTAAGCCTAAAGAGACTCAACACACTGAGACTATGGCCAAGTTTGGTACTTAACTCTGGATGTGAATTTAGGGATGTTGGATGACATTTCTCCCACTATCCCTCATTTTCTAGAAATCCCCTGAAGACTGAAGGTCTTACAGGATTACTCCCAAGTAAACTCCAGGATAGTTGGGAAGACATGAGGTTGTCTTAAAGAAGACTGGCAGCTGCCAGTCTGCACTGATGAGAGTCTGTAGTGAGACATCCATCAACTTGAAGTACCTAGTTTAAAAAATATATGGGATATAAGGATAACACTTTTCTGAAGGCAGCCTTAAGCAGTCAGACTCAGGGGACATGCTCAGGCTGGAAGTGACTGGCCTTATCCTAACAGCAATATTTAGGCTGAGGTGATCAGGCACTGATTACAGAAGATGTGGATGAGAGAAATAAGTAACTCTGAAGTTATTTTTGGATTCCTGACTCAGTCTACAGCTACAGCAAGATCTCTGCCTGTGCCTTTATTCCCAAGGAGGTTCAAAGCAGGCAGAAAGTAGGTGGCTCCGCAACCTATACTAGAGTCAAGAGGGCAAATTTATTTGAGATGCTTGGATGTACACTTGCACACACAGAAGTGGACTGAGATTTATGGTCTCTCCTTCACAAGATGGGTCTAAATTTCAGTACCCTCTTAGAAGAAGAGGAAGTTAAAACTATAGTTGAATCTATGATTGCTCCAAATAACCTGGTACTTAGAGGTGGAAGCAGCTACAGAGTGAAAAACCCATCAGTCTGTAGAGATGTCACTTTGAGGACTGAAAGCTTTAGAGAAGCACATCAATTGCTCCTCTAATTGAAGGCAGCCCTAAATATCTCAGACAAGGCAGCTAGAAGAGGAGGATATGTGTGCTGTAGAAGACATACTTGAAGAACTATCAAAGTAGCTGGGGGTGGAGCAAGAAAAAAAGGGAGACTAGCCACAGGTCTTGAAGCTCATACAATGACTCCTGACTTTCCTACTCCTCCCTCAAGAGAAGGAGTAATCTTGGGAAAGGAAAGAGAAGTCAGAGGGTAGAAGAGTGAAGTAAATCTCTTACCTCCTCATCCTCTAGCCTCTTGTCCTTATCCAGATTTAGCAAGACAGCTTGAAAAGCAGTGAGGCTGCCCAGCTGACCAGCATTCCTGGCTGGCAAACAGCCTCTTAAACAAACTGCTGGTTGCTGCTTTGCTGGCAGTTTGAAGTGTGCTGCCCTGCACAAAAGGACTAAGGAAACTTTGAAACCCAGGTATAGCTGTCACTCTTCTCTGTGGAAAATGATTTCTTTGGATGAGGCTAAGATAGCAACCTGGCATAATGTACCTGCTTCTTCCCCTCCTGGCATGCAAGAGATAGATGATTGAAAGTGGAAGAGAAGAAAAAGTCACTTTGTTCCTAACAGGCTTTTGAATGCCTGGTGAAACAAAAGCTGAGGCAACCACACATCTGTGGTAGAGACAAGCCACAGGCTTTCACAAGCATAGTCAGAAGATGTTAGGAGCAAACACATATCTCAAGTAATGGGTAGCAACCAGTAAGAATTTGAAACAATATTCTCATATCCAAGTGCCTTCAAAAAGATATCTAATAGATTTTTCAGAATAAATGTAGAGTGGCAAAAAGGTGTTCCCTCCAGTCATCCGTAAATTACACAACACTAGTGACTCGGATCTCATGCTTTATGGACCACGTGCTTCTGCTCTTACTGAGCAGTGATACAAAGCTCTAACTAGATCAGCCTACTGGATTTACTCACCAATTTCGAGAAATGAGGTTTGGGTGTCTGCATGAATTGAACTGGAAGGCCCTCTCTCCTGTTTAAATACAGTAGTATTTATAGCTTTATGTCAATTTAAATGTTACAATGTTTCGCAATCATGTATTTAAACACAGAAATCTGTTTATTTACCCAAACAAAACAGAGGAAATGATTCCAGCCCTCAGGTTTTGAATTCTCGTTTAAACATGTGAACATCAGTTCACAACTTAGAGATGTTTGTGTATCTATGTACCTCCAAAATACTCATATTTCATAGGCTTTTTCACATTAATATTCACCAACAGTATCACAAAAGTTCTTTTTCTTTTACATAACTGTAAGCAACAGTAATTCTAGAAACACTAGAGAAAAAAAGCATAGCAATGTCCACAGTTACAAGAAAAAGTGCACATTACTTGGTCACAATCACAGTCATTACTTGGAAAACTATATGTAACAAGTAGATATAAAATATCACTGATGCCTTAAACTCATTGTCAAAAATGGAGTTACATAAAATTTTGTACATGAAATAAGGCAAATTTAGGAATGCACAAGAAACTTGTTATTCAACGAAAGCTAAACAACAGAACAGATAGTACAGTAAGCATAAACTAAAGTACTTTTTTCTATATACTTAAAAATAAGCCTGCCGTAGTGCACAAAGAAAACACCATTAATGTGTAATCAATATTATAAAATAAGAAATAGAGGGGTTGGGAAGAGGGGGGAAGGAGAGAGAAGAGTTTTGTTATAGTTGCAGCTGCATCCATTTACAGTTTTGTACAGGTTTTAGCTAGGCCTGGGAATTATACAAATCATACCAGAAGTGTCAATGACCCTCCTCAGTAAGAATTTTGTTTAAATTAAGGAAAAAAATAAATACTCACAAGAGTGCAAATTTTCAGATTGTCACTTGCAACCTCTTAACATTCATCATCTACATCCAATCACAACTAGAGGGACTTGAGTAAGACAGCAGCAGTGATCATGGATTTAGATGAGCTCATCGTAAGAAATCAATTTATCTTCTTTTTTTTCTCGACGATATGTCTTTTTTAAAAAACCCTCAACTCTTTGTTAATCACTAATAAAGCTGCAATATATTACAGAATGGAGTTGAGAATGGTATGAATGCAGGAAATGCATGCTTCCTTTGGAAGGTATTCCATAGATGACAATTTACAGTACACAGGGGAAGAATTATCCAGCATCAAGAGTTACTCATTATAGAAAGAATATGAAGTTGGGGAGAAGGGCACAGCCAGGGGTTCAGGAGAGGAAGGGGGGACTTAAAATAGCTCCTCAAAACATTTTCAGGACCAGTGAAAAAGTTTACCAAAGTAAAAATGAAAAATCTTGAATGAAAACAAAAATCTTTTGTTTTGTTTTTTATAAAAATTACATTTTTTTTAAAATACAAGATCCTTTTAATTGCAATTGTGCCCTGTAGCAACAGGACATTTGGCAACGTTTTGCCATATACTGCAGCTTTAAGTCCAATGAGTCAGTATCACATTCCACTAATATTGCACTTGGATCTTGAACCATTTTTTTTTAAATCATCACAGCATCTTCTGTTTCCTCCACTTGTTAGAACGAGTTAATTTCTAGCCACTTTTTCGATATTTATGCTGACACACTAAAACAAAAGCAATAGGCTGGACACAGGAAAGTACCTCGGAAATACCAGAGGTCGAAGTTCACTTGAAGCACCTTAACACATCACTTTATGGATCAAGAACAATGTGGCATTATGGTAATTAACTCTCCTAAAATACTGTGCAGTAACTGAAGTGTGTGCTCAGGGAAATCAAAATGTCATTAGTGGAAACTCTGAGATAAGACCAGGCCAATGTGAAGGTCACATGACTCAGTTCTGCTGCAAAATAAGGTTTTCCAGTTCATCTGCAGAACGCAATAAAAATGCGGCTGATTCTCGATAACCTGCCACAAGCTGCCTCACTGCATTTATTTCAGTTGGACTCAGCTGGGGTCTAGAGCTTGAACTACTGGAGGATCCAGAGCTGGTTGCTAACTGCCTCTTCATACTGAGATCTGTTGGACCTGCAGATAACAAAGGAAAAGAAAAGAACCTTCAGATCTGCTTCCAGAGACATTTCACAGGTTTGTAGCTACAAATGCAGAACAGCAAAATCTGCTCTGAGCCGAGTGCCAGTGAGAAGCAGCCGAGGCCAGAACACACTGTTCAGTTACCAGCTGCCTTGACGGGAACCATGGTGATTTATATCTATATATGACAGACAACCTTCAAATTCTACTTACGCAACGTAAGAGGCAAGTCTGCTGCCAGCAGAAAGTTACCCTTTGGGGGGTATCCCAACAGTTTAAGCCACTCCCACCCCAACACTGCCCTAAGATCTGATGGTGGTGAGCAGGCAGAAGGTTCATCTCCTGTGCCTCCCCCAGCTCCAGCTGCCACCATAGCCTTCATGGCAACCTGCATACTTACAGTTTTTTATCACAGAATATCAAACTTATGTTCTCTAGATATCTGTTTTCATGTTTTATGCTTCAATCAGCATGCAGCCAGATTGTGAATCCCTTACAGACTTAGATAAATGGTCATTGACTAGCTCTGATGCCACATGATAGCTTATATAAATAGCTGTCATGAATGAGATGAGGCTGGTGACAATCTGGTCACTAGAGCAAGGAGTCATCTGCGGGCGCTGCCTACAGCTGGCAACATATTGCAAGGATCTTGTAAGGCTTGAACACTGACAAGAGAATCTGCAGCAATCACTATGTTGCATTGGCCTCTTACACCAACGTGCCTGCACTTTTCACCAAAGAATATTCTCTGCTGCGTGCAAAAGAAAGCACTCCTGAGGGTAGTCTGCCGGGTACGGTGATCAACAAAACTATTCGCCATCGTGAAGTTCAGCTTTGTGTGGAATTTCCCTCGTCAACTGACCATAGTTATTTATCAGGCAAGATGTGTGGTGCTTTGATGAGTTGTTTGCATTTTCCAGTTAACGTTTTTTCTGCCTGGAGCATAAATTCAGACAGGAAGCACTGGACTGAGGACTTTTTTTAAATATAGAAGGATACAGATGGCAAGTACATAGAAGGATACAGAAGACAAGATGGCAACAGGGAAGGTTCAGACTGGGCATTAAGAAAAATTCCTTTACAGACTGGTGAAGCACTGGAACAGGCTGCCCAGGGAAGTGGTGAAGTCACCATCTCTGGAGGTGTTCAAAAAGTGTGTAGTCACGGCACTTCCGGACATGGTTTAGTTGTCATGGTGATGTTGGGTTGACGGTTGGACTTGATGATCATACGAGGTCTTTTCTAATCTTAATGATTTTATGATTCTATGATTCTATACCTATCAAGCAGTTTGTTTTGTACAAATCTGGAAAAATACAGTTCATTTGTTTTGACAATGTAGGCAATCTACCCATGCAGAAGATCAGACTAGCCTGATCATAGAATCATAGAATCATAGAACTGTCTGGGCTGGAAGGGACCTGAAAGATCATCTAGTTCCAACCCCCCTGCCATGGGCAGGGACATCACCCACTAGATCAGGTTGCTCAGAGCCCCATCCAGCCTGGCCTTAAAAACTTCCAGGGATCTTAATAGTCTCCTGGAAATTGGGATCAAGTTATCCAAAGCAAAGTATCTTGCTTTATATAAGAGGAACATCACTGTTCAATTTAATTGGGACAACGTATGTCAATGCCGAAGTTTTCTCAGCATTGGCTCAGTGGACGGATCTTGATTCCTAAAAAGACAGGAATAACTTTAAAATTTAGCATATTCAACTGTAGAATACAAAACACATGAATTCATACTCTACAAGTTCTCCTAAATAATCCCACCAGAATCACAAGATTCAAACACAGACTCGCTATCCTAAGCACTAATGAAAAGAGATTTACTGATTCCCAGAAGCTGAAGACCTGGTCTTAAACCGTACTTATTTTTCTTTCTTTTCTGTGGATGCCGAGATACTTCTGAGACCACCAAGAACACGGAGATTGCAATGTCCCTGCACTCACTGAAGTTAATGAAAATCTCCCCTTGCGTGAATGAAAGCAGAGCTGCGGCTCTGAAAAGAAACTACTCAAACATAAAGGGTCCTATTAGATCTTTCTTCCTAGTACTCAACTAGCATGAGCAGCACTTAGTCTTACAACTGCATTACCCAGTTTTACACTGGCATAAAATGAATTGACTTTTAAAGGACTTCCAGTGTACAAAGGATAAATAAAAGGACAATTAGCTCAGCGAATTTGTTTCAGTGTGACTGCATGCTGCAGGGAAATGATCACAGTGTGAAGAAGCTCAGAGGATATTTCTAAGCAAAATCTTAACCCAGTACAGAGCAGAAGAGTATACAAATCATAAAGTCAGCTGGACTGAATGGTTGTAAGAAGCCATTAAAGACTTCTATATTTATTGAGGCAGTAGTGAAAAAGCTACCACTGACATATTGAGGGCATTGTGCTTCATATGAACCTACTTTAACTTTTATGTTCTTTCCTTGACTCTCATTCATGTCACAGCCCAAATCACACACTCTCACACAATATATGGTAGAACAGAGCTTCTGCAGCAGGGCACGTATCTTTTCGGAAGCCTTCAGTCTTGAAGGGCTTTTCACATAGGTAATCCAGATTTTTAAGTAATAGAATAAGATATAAGCTTCTTTTGCTTGTAAGTAGAAAATACATAGAAATGTTCTTGCGTACACCACTGAGGTTTTCTTTACAAAACTTGATCACACAACATCAAAGCACTGCTCTGAAAGGAAAACTAGGAGGAGACTAGATGTCCAGAATGCATAAATCAGTGTAAATCCTCACAAGTCTATAGGGTGTCAGGGATTTACACAAACTGCAGATGTGGCCCTGTATTCCTAGATGTCTGGATTAACTATCATGCGGAAAGTTTTTTAACTTTTCAGAATGTGTATCTCTGAATCTCTGAGGATGCTGGAAATGAAGTTTTGTGCACATGCAAATCTGCAGTCTGCGTACACAATGAACACCAGGACCAAGAACCTCTCCGGGTCTGCGAGACTTCTGTTGTATTCAGAGTTCTTGTGTACAAAGGAAATTAAGAAATCATGGATTTTAACTTAACCCAGCTACTTCACACTATGTGATTTTTTTTATTTCTATGTACTAAGAAAATAGGCTTTTACTTTACTCCTCAACTCCTGCCTTGTACTTAACAAGTCACAGTGCTGTCCTTTTTCTCCTCAAAGAAAAAAGCAAGAAACACGCACACAGAAAGGTGTTCACAGGTATGGTTTCAGGACAGTGAGCACACCTGTACCTTTTCAGGAAGGAAAGCTGCATGTGCTGGCAGAGGAGCTGAACAGAAAGAGAACAAGCCATGCTTGATGTGGGGATAAGGATTGTAGTTCTTCTTTTAATTATGTTATATTACCTCTACACCTCACCCCCAAAGCTTGCCTATGACAGCTCAAGCTTTATGTCTGGGAGAACATCTCGCTCAGAGACTAGCCCCAGGATGTATTAGGCTCATCTCAGCTTTTAATACCTATGATAGACATTCACTGGCAGTAGTACTGATTCTTAAAGGTTGTCCAGGCTGCTATATGCTAAAATGCTATAACTTGTCTGTAGCTTCACCAAGTCATACCTGACTGTTCAGAAAATAAGGAATAAATCATAGAATGGCTTAGGCTGGAAGGGACCACAGAGATCATTTTAATCCACCCTCCCTGTTGTGGGCAGAGACTCCTCTCAACTAGATCAGTTAACACACGGGGACCGCATGGAGATCGAACCCGCGACCTTGGTGTTATCAGCACTACGCTCAAACCAGCTGAGCTAACTGGCTTACAGGCTAGATTTTTATTGGGTAACTTCATGCAAATCAGCTATCAAAGCACAGAAATCTAGATCTTACCAAATATCCACCACATTTCTTCAACCAGACAGATAAATGACAGATATTCTGAAGGCTTAAAATAGCTGGTTAAGGTAGACACTTCATGTACATCTATCTCCAGAAGCTATCACTACTGATGACTAAACCTAGAGAAAGCTGCCATTTCTTGTAATAACTATCCTTACTTCAGATAGAACTATTTCCTTAGTGTACTTAATATTATTTATTAAGCTGCCAGTCTTCATAGGAACAAGGGAGTATATCCTTATACAGAGGGAAATCTGTGAAACTGCACATTTTAGCATAGTGCTTCCTATCCTAGAGTACTTCAGGTCAATTAAAAATCTTGATTGGAAACATTATCAGGTTCCACAATGTCTGTGTGAGCAAGCAAAGATTAAACATATATTGCAGAAATGAAGACAGGACACTTATTTTTATTCATTAACTTCTCTTAATGCATACTATTATAACTCACAATTGCCACCTCCCATGTTTTTATAACAGCAAAATATTCTCTTAAGCAGTGGGTTACACAAATTGGTGAGACAGATCCTTTATTTTATAGTCTTTCAAAAGACTGAAGTATTGTTTCTCTATCTCTTGCCAAGGCCACCAGATTGACACTTTAACATGGGAATATTTTTGATTGAGCACCTCAGTCCAGGTACGTAGATCTAATTTCCCCTGTGAGGTGGAATTGTTCTTGTTGAAACTACACCAAGCTGAACATGAGAACTCTGAAAATCCACTCTTCATGTGCTAGACAACCATTTATCAAATTAGCTGCCACGAGTATCTGCCGTTAAGTACATTGGAGGACAAATGGCTTTTCCGTAAATTGCAAGACTTAAATGGAACTAGTTATTGCCTCATGCACTACTCATTAGCAAATGATTTATATCACATTCCAAGATATGGGTCAGATGTAGATGTGCTGTTACTGATTGCTTAGACACTATCAACTGTCTCAGCAAAAATCCCTTAAGAATTCTATGCTGTCACTGAGTTGCTACCAATCTTATAATTAACAACTACTGAAAGAATAATAAATGTGCCAATGACTCTCAAAATGGCTATCACTATTGCAGATAATAATTTAGAAAAACAAAAATATTTTTAAATAGCTATATGTGCTTAAGCATCCATGCTTCTACATTTTCATTAATAGTTAAGCAACCTTTTCGATCAGTGAAGACATAAAAAGCAGTGGCACTTATTTGAAAAACACATTTGCCCAGGTTTTAAAGACTCTTGTGTATCTTTTCTATTGTACTAGTTCTCCTCTACCTTTTTTTCCCATGAGTGACTTCAGAAGTGAGTAGGTACTAGATCCTCATATACTCCAATAAAACTAAATAGAAACAACTATCAAACTATACTACTTTTTCCAAATCAGATGTATTTATAATTGCAAGAGTATTTTATTATGATATCATGCATCTGTCAATGTTTCTTTTCCTCCTGCCTAACAGAGAGCAGATGTGCCAAAAACTATTGTTTCGAGTGTCAGGAGATCTCAGATCAAGGAAACAGAGACTTGTGAATTAGACCTTTTAAGCTTCTTTTTTCCTTCTACACCTTTCCCTCTGGAAAACATACCTTCAGTTAGTTTAGATAGCAGAAGAAAACTGTTGTGTTGCCTGAGGAAAGAGATGTGAAAACAGAAATATCTGCAGCCACTGAACCTCATGTCTTTTCAACAACTAGCAAACAGGCTGGATTGTGATGAAATTATTACACGAGATCTTGCAGTAATGTTTCCTATCCACCACAAGAGACTAATTATGTGGCATACTCCTGCCTTGCTTTAATGGCTGTGTTCTGAGCTTTGCGCAAAAGTAGGAAAGTAGGATACTGCCCATTTCAACTCCATACCTATGTTGAGAGAAGACTAATACTTGCAGATGCCACATATCTGACAATTTGAAGAGAAGGAGGAAGGGGGAAGAAGAATGTGAGGATGACCTTAATATAGAATCCAGCCAGCATTTCCCAGTGAGAAATTCCTACCTTTGCCACAACATAGGTCCAACCATTTAACTTCTCCCAGCCCTACATTTTGCCTTTTTAAAACGGACTAAACATACTTTCCCAGCTTCCTAACACTATCACTCAGGATGTGCTTGTGGTGTGAACATGTTCAGGTTCAGCTGAACAACTCACCTGAGCTCGAAGGGGACTGGACGTTTGTGGTGCCTGGGATGCAGTGCTGAGTTGTGGCTGTGGTAGAGGTAGGCTGCGGATCTGTGTAGAGAAATGGAGATACAACAGTTATTTGTCTTACTATGACATGAGGGCATGTCCTGCATGGCCAGCCTGCCACTGAGTTTGAAACACCCTCTTTTTTACATGCACAAGGAAAAATGACTGCCTAGAAAACCAAGCAACCATGTAGAGGACAAAAACCCAAATCACCTCCAGGAAACCCAGAAATGGCAACAGAAACACTCTTCACACATCTTAGGGAAAATGGACTTTAGGAAATGAAGTGGCTGTGGAGAGCAAGGTTCTGACAAGTTCACCCTTGCTTCAGAGAGTGCTGAGAGTCGACAGTCATCAGGAGAGGGCAGAGGGCAACCACCTGGACAGAAACTTGTGGGGAGACGGGGCCATCTGACTCTGTCGGGAGAGGCTCAGGCAGTGTGCAAGGACTTCAGTAGCTTCTGGAGGCAGCAAGAGATTTTGCTCCCAACAGAGCAGCCTGTCTCCTGTCCTCACCCTCCTGCTCTCAAGCTGGGAACCCCTCCAAGCTCAGTTTAGGTGTGATGGAGTGTGGACAGCTGAAGCCTTTGTGGCTGGCTAGGAGCTGGCAAGAAAATTTTGTTTACATCCACTGAGCTACCTCATCCTGGAGATTTTTCATTGAGTTCTGGATCAGGAACCGCATTAGCCTTAAAAAAGAGAGCCATGGAAATCCACCCTTCTCAAAGAGCAGCTCTCCTTTAACATCTACGACAGTCAAGGACAACGTGGCTAAAGGCTTCTCCCCAGCCCATGTATAGGCTGATAGAGGCTCTGTCAACCCACAGATTGCTTGAGGTGAAGCTTTACAGCTTATCTGGCTTGGCCTAAAAGGTTTAAAAGCAGAGGAAAAGAGAGACCTAGAGGCTGTAAGCCCAAGCCTTTTCCTGCTGTGCTTTTTTCCTGCCCACAATAAAGGAGGTGTCACTGTACAAGCTGTTGTGTTCTGCTTGCTCATAATGAGCAGTTGCATGAAGGCTTGCCCCAGACAGTTGTGTAGGGAGCTAATAATTATGGTTCTGTAATTAGCCATGTGGAAGGACAGACTGAGGAGGGAAGCACTGCAACTGCAGGCACAGAGAAGTCCCTGAGCCAGAGCCACCAAACAGTTGGGCGATCAGATAGCTACGTCTGTAAGATCGGCTCAGAGTAGGGATGAATTTTACAGGGGAGGAAATAACAAAATTAAATGAGTCACAGCATACAAAATACACACATCAGCCGAACTACTAGATAGGACATAGTCATTGTACTACCATGTGACAAGGCCCAGAAATAGGTATTCAAGCAGTGAGTTTTAGCTAGTTTTTGCAACTACTTATTTTTCTGTTTTAGCAAATGCACAAAACCAGACTGCATTTGTTTACATACACGTGCTGACTGAGGTGTATATTTTTACACTAGGAGAACATTTGTAAATGTGACAAGAACATTTGATGGGTTACTACGCTGAAAAGGAAATGCATTCTTAAATTACTTCTTAGGACCTGAAAATAATTCACAAACAAATATCCTGTTCTCCAGAGAGGGAACTCATTAACCATTGCAACAGCCTTGAGTATATTTGGAACAAGAGTCCTTGAAACAGAATAACGATTGCAAACAACTGTCTTGTGAGGTCCGTCAGGAGGGCAATGGTTACCACTCTCAACTATAACTCCATCCATTCCTCTTATTCTATAAATTAAAAAAGCAAATGTCTATGGACATATCAGAGAAGATTAACAGATTCCAAAGAACCAGCCTCCAAGTCCTGGAATTTCTCCTGTACAGAAATCAGCTAATGGAGCCAGCGCACTTTACTCTCAATGGTAGAAGCAGCCACCGGATGGCTGGAAACATATCCTGTGCCTCACGCCACTGCCCGAAACACTATCCTGGGCCTAGAAAAACAGATCTTGTGGTGACACAGCACTCCAGAAAGAACTGAGTCAGATAAAGGGACTCATTTTAAAAATAATCTTATAATCAATTTGGCCAAAGAACGTGGTATCAAGTAGGTATATCATATTCCCTATCATGCACCAGCCTCTGGAAAAAATGAATGATACAATGGACTGTTATAAAACAATTTGAAAGCAATGGGAGGTGGAACTTTTGAAAACTGGGACGAGCAGTTAGCACAAGCCACCTGGTTAGTTAACACCAGAGGATCCATCAATAGTTCTGGTCCTGCTCATTCAGATCCTTTAGGTACAGCCGAAGGAGATAAGTCCCTGTAGTGTATGAAAAGAATTTGCTGGGAAAAACTGTCTGGGTATTTCTTGCTTCAGGCAAAGGCAAGCCCATTCATGGGACTGCTTTCGCTCAAGGACCTGGAACTACTTGGTGGGTGTTGATCAAAGATGGTGAAGCCAAACGTGTACCTCAAGGGAATTTAACTCTGAGTGAGAACACTTGATTTAAAACTATATGATGCTGTTACATAATACTAACAGTGTTCAGTAACTGCCTTTCAAGACAATATACTAGTGACGACCAGAGCTAGTCTTGTCATGTCCAATAACTTCCTTGAAGTGAACCCACAACCCATAGACATGAATTGTAACAAATTTCACATCAGCTTTCCTGCCCTGAGAGATTGCTATGATAGATGGAACCCAGAATTCTGAACTCAGTGAACTGATTGAACTTTTATATGAAAGTAGATCATAAACTCGTGATCAATATGACGTAATGGTATGGCATAAGGAGTAGAATGTCCTGGTTTGAGCTAAACAGAAACAGTTCTGTTCAGTGATTTTTACTTCTCAGCTCATTCTCCTCTAAGAGGCTGCACTTTCTGAAGTTCGCAGCATGTTTCTGCAGACAGTGTGTGCTACTGGCAGTGATAACACCTGATGTTTGCAGTTACTGCCTGGGACTGGTATGCAGAAAGGCTCTGGCTGATATTTATTCCTACAGTGACCAAGGCCACTGCTGGCTCCTGTGTGCCACGCTGCGGGTGCCGGGTAGTAAGAGGGGTCACAAGGAAATAAAATGTTGCACCTCCGGGGAGTAATAGACAGGGTAGGTGACCAATGAGAATATTCTATTCCATATACGTCATATTTAGTATAAAACTGAGGGTTTACTTCTCTTTTTCTTCTCTTCTGCAATGGCTGGTGTCCAGGGAGGACTCCATCTGATCTTCTGCCTGTGATCCCAATCCCGAGTTTCTGAATGCAGCTCCCGTATCCAGCTCCCTTCTGCTGCTGAGCCTGGGGTTTCCCCAGTGCCACCTGCTCTGTAGTATCAGTGGTAGTTGCTTTTGGAGGGGGGACGTGGGTTTGATATCGGTTTTGTATATATGTACATAGTTCACTATTTTTATTATTTCTTTATTCATTAAAGCTGTTTTAATTTTTTTTTTCCAATCCATAAGACTCTGCCTCATTCTCTTTTCCTTCCCATTTGAGGAGAGAGAGGGTGCTTTAACTGTGAAAAAAACACTGGAGTCCTCTTAAGTTAAAGGTACAAAGAAAACATTATTTCTAATCAGAAAGCAACATTAACTTATGATGTTGAATTTGTACCTCATTTTTTAAAACTGCAGGCTGACATGACATAGAATACTTTTGCCTAAATCCCACAAATCATTAAAAAATGGGAGTTATGAAAATGTATCCTATTACAAGAGGTTTGAAGGGAAGAACAAGCACACAAACCAGTTGTGATTCCTCACAGTTTAAGATTATATAAAATAGGACAATTCTGATGGCTTCTGCTGACAAAAAACACATGGGGAGTTTAATCCTACTCTTACTTGGGTGAATGAGAAAATGCCAACTGTTTTCAGTGAGAACTGACTCGAGTCTTCTCTATCCACAATGTAAAAGACAATTTTAAATTCTTCTGCATTTTCCCAAGAAACAAGATTTCCACAGCCTGTCTTACTCTTACGAAAATATTTTATCAGAGATCATATTCCGTACCTCATCTGTGTTTTTCATGCATATGGAAGCAATTGTTATCATCATTCACTCTCTTTAAGTCAAAGACAACTAAAATATTATCTTTTTAAAGCCTTTTGAAAATTTAATGCAAATCATGCACAGGCTTTTGAGAGTGGGGAGTGAAGAAGCAGACATGACTGGAGGTCATCAGGACACCACATACCAGGAAGCCCTTGCAGGCTGTGTTTTGAAAATCACTTAGCGTGTTGAATATAGAGGCTGTAGCTGAACAATTACCATCTTGCCTAAGTCAGTTCATGTACCTGAAGTAGCACTCTCTTCAGCCAGAGAGGGATCAGCCAGGACAAAACCCCAGAGATTTCTCTATCCTCCTAGACATTTTTTAAATACGGTTCTTGGAGGCAAGAGACCCTCAAGCTTCCAGAGTAATCACTTTTGTCTGACAGACAGACAATACCCTTGTTATCAGAATGGGCCAACCTTTTCCTTTGCTCTGAATTTGTACAAAATCAATATGGGGGACTATTTCAAACAAATAATAGAATTTGTTTACATGTGTTTGTTACAAAAGCTTGCTAATGTAAGAAGAAAGGAATGCTGTCTGAATAAATGGCACCTCTGGTTTTTTTCAGACAAGCATACAGCCTCATGGTGACACATAATTGCCTGCATCATTTTTAGTTTACAGTGTAAATGGATATGCTGATTTCTCATTTAACACTGGGTATGCCCAATCTTTATCTGCAGTAAATTAAAGTAGCTAGAAAGACCACAGGAGAAATCTGGGTCAATTCATTTATGTTACAAAATATGGACTTCAGTGTTTTCAAACTCCAGCCACAAAGAAACTAATGGCTTCATTTTGTGATCAGTGTAGAGAGGTCAATAATGACAGTGTAGGGCCTCATAAAGTCTTGCAAATCGACTGAAGATCTAACCTGGCATTTTTTTTTACTCAGCTTTGTTAGAGACTTCAGGTTCAGTCTTGGCTTACTGTGAATTAGTCCCTTGAAACTGAAAGGCTACTAGTATGCAGCACGTTAAGTATTTCGCTCAGCAGTAGCTGCTTGCGGGATTACGTTCCTGCTCATTATATGATAACAGCCTACAGGTATCGAACCCCTTGGACTGGGTTTCTGTACAGCAGGGGGAAACCTACACATGAGCACATATGCACACAGGCATATTTTGTAAGGAAACTTACCACTGCTAGAAGCATCATTGAGATTTAGCAGCCCACCTCCGAGCCCTCGGTAACTATGGTAACTGTAGGTCCCATTGCCATTGATGTACAACACCTCCTGTGTGCTGGAAACAGCTGATGTTGAGTAAGTGACCTGGGTTGGCTCCTGTTTGTACTGCTTGTCAGCTGGAGCAGCCTCATCCTGCAAAACCAAGAAAAGGTTCTGAATTATTGTTACATTTTACCTTGCTTAAGAGGGTCTTTTTCAGTGTTGAAACGTCCCATCTATTGCTTTCAGAAAAGTATTAATACATGTTAAACAAGCATGGATGTGCTTCTGCTTGACCAAGTATCAGCTGAAAAGAAACAATGGAAATGAGCAAGAATACAGGTTTCCTACAAATCTAAGAATATTCATTTATTTCTGCTCCATGAGCCAACAATACTGTTTCTCAAAGAGAATGTAACCTCCCTCCTTGAACAGGTCACAGTCTCCCGCAAAATTCAACTCTGTCCAGAAATAGTGTGGGAAAGGATAGAAAAAAAGGCATTACTTTCTGAGTGCAGGAGTGACTTTTCTGAGCCAGAGAATCATGTTTCTTGACAAGACAAACCAACACAGAATGCATCAACTACTTCTTTTGATGTATCAGCTTCAGGAATGACAGAAGGAACAGAGAAATGGACTGTTTCTACACCATGAGCTCCCCTCAATGCTCCCTGTTTGCCTCTTGGATGCTTGCATAATATTTAACAGGATTTAGCACAACAGCCCTCCCATAGTCCCCTGAAGGAGCTCATGCTTCCAGTGAAAGTGTATTTTTCCCCATCTGCAGTTACTGCATCTACTGCTTAGACCACCTCACCTCCACTCATGATCACAGAATGCCCCTGTGGCAACTTTAGTAATGACACAGGTGAAAAAAAGAAAAGCATTATGAGAAGATTTAGTGTGCTTTAGTACTTGTTAACATGGAAAACTACCAGTGTGTGACCTGTTAGCCCACCACAGGGAACTACATGCCAGAATTTCTGATTTAGTCTGCAAATGTATTTGAACTTTGTTTCTTTTACCTTGCATATTTTTTTAATGGGCCTCATTTTACACTCTTACCTGATGAAAATATCTTTCAGCAATTTCAAATAAAACGGACTTATGGAAGACCAGTATTTTAAAAAATAGGGGTGAGGAAGTTTGCAGATCTTTTCAGAAAATTTAACTGAAAAATGATCTGTTAGAATTATCTCCCCTTTGGGTAAGATTTTGTCCATTTTGTGCTTCTCTCTTCTGCACAAGACTTTTATGATTGCTAAATATACCAAACTTATTAAGAATGCTATAAAGTATCTCAAAACTTTTCTTACAGTATTTACTTAAGAATGTGCATACCAGCACAGAGGGATCAAATAGTTCAGTTTTCAGTCTCTGTGTCAAAAGCATAAAGGGTTCAGAAGCAGCTTTTCTGTTCTCAGTAGGAAGAGTCATCAGTTCCATCTCTCGAATAAGACACTACCAACTTTTCTGAGATGAAGATATCCCTGTTTTGCAGATATGTATTGGTAAAAGAGAATTGGGCACAACGGAGATGACTCAGGAGAAAGTGTATATATTATTAACAGAAATTTTAATATTTAATACAGAACACTGAACTGTCAGATAATTAATTCCATAAACAATTAGAATGGGGCCTCTTAGGCATTAATATGAGCTGAGACAAAGCTTTGTATTTTTAAGAGAGTTGGCCAAACTGGTCTCCAATGCATTTTCTTAAGTAATAATAGGCTTAAACAAAGTCTAAATTACAACGTATTTTTGCCAGGAATTCAACTTTTATATCATTTACCTTTTATCACCAAAGGTCACTGCTGTCTCTTGTAAGAGAAAATGTATTGTTTTTTCTCTGAGAAAATATTCATAAGCTATACAGTAAAGTTCTGTCTTGGCAACAAAGCTTAACTCATCATCCAAATCTTTAACAGTCTCAAGGCTGAGATGTTCTGTATCCTTATGTCTAAAACAGATGATACTTCCTGCCATAGACTCACTCAGAGCCTCATTTTATTCCCATGAAGATCAGTAAGGGATCTTCTGCAAATTTATCAGGGACTGGACTGGTTCAAGGGGTGCAGTGCAAAGGGGACTAACTCCTATAGCTCAGCAGAGTATCTCAGGGTCTGACTCCTTACCCTGACTGTCTGGAACCCACAAATTTGCTGTCCCTGAAGGTACACATCTTCTAGAGCCTCCCTAGTCAGCGCACTGAAAACCTAACAGAGAGCTCCTTCAGAGCTGATGCACTGAACAGAGCACAATGAGCACAGCGAGCAGAGCCTGGCTCAGGGGCACAGCAAGGGGACTCGGTGCACCTTGGGGCATCTGGCGCCACGCGTAAGAGCACATGGCCAAGAAGGAGGAGACCCAACTTCTGACTCCTTGTTGCAACAAACGATGGAGGCGGAAAACTTGGGATGCAAGGTCTTTGCTAGTCGTGGTGAGGAAGGGACCTGAACTCAGAGCTGCCATCTCCTAGCAACCAGGCTTCAAGTAAAACTGCAGTGGGAGTTGCAGCTGAAGCTGTGCCACTGTGTGGAAAGAAATGCACGATTCATAGGGCTACAGAGATAGCAAACAAAAAAGGAACATGGCTCAGTGCCCTTGTCAGAGAAGTGCTGCCCTGGGAGGCTTCCAGCCCTGCTCCCTTCCAGCTACTCCTTAACACAAAACTCACAAGCTGCTCTAAGGTCAGGAATCCAAGTTTGGGGCTGCGCTGCCAAAGAGGAATCTTTGTATCGAGCTAATTACAGCCCCGTACAACACCATAGTGTGCCATGGGCTGGGGCTCGAGGCAAAACCCAGGCGTCTTGGTGCCTGGTGGGGAAGGGGTCGAGCAGCTCAGGACTCCTGGTTCTATGTATGAGCTCTAATCTCTCAGCCACTATACAAAAGGTGGCTTCCTCTTCATATTACATCTATTTTTAAAGAGCAGACCAATCACCTGTGCCTAGAAGATCACTAAGTTGCCCTACATTTCAGACCTGAAATCTGGGCCTCATCTAGGTGCTCTGCTTGGTGCCTCAGGACAAGCAAAAGCAGAAGCAGGGCGGGATTTTTGCCGACCGTTTCCTGAGCAGGCCCAGGTGTCAGCCCCACCAGTAGGATTATGAGCCATAAGCCTGGTCCCAGAGGGTTCGGTGTTACCTTTCATATACTCCCCTGGGATTTAAGCATTTTTCAGAAATATTTTGTACTTCAAAAGGCAAAACTGTCCTTTTTCCTTGTAGCCACACCAAGGATAAAGAAGTCAAGCCTTCTTTTTCTCAGTGAGAGAGAACATGAAAACCATATTCACTTTTATATACCTGAGATTTATCCTGTGCAGATTCATTCTCTTTTTCCTTTTCATCTTACTTGTCTTTGCTCTTACTAACGTAGAAATTAAACAAACACAGTCTTATTCCAGAACTGGGATTTTTAAAATATTTTAAACTTTGTTTACACTAAAAGGCTTAATAATTTATTTTAAATATTATTTTACAAATACTTTAACTTTGAAATAATCAGTAACAATTAACTAATCATTTATTAATATGTTTGATCTAACTACCTGGAACACACACTGTTTTAATTCATAACAAATTTATAAAAACTTCAAAGTATTAACTAACTATTTTTAAACTATTTATAATTTACCTTTAATAAGAAGTATGTAACAAGATACAGATAAAACATTTGTTTATCCAGAATTTGATTTATACCATCTTCATTTTTTTACATGGCAATGGAAATAAGCCGTACTTCTAACAATATTTCTCTTCTGAATTTATTTTGGATGAGAAGTAATTTAAGTTTGGAGTATATCATCTGGAAAAAGATGGGAACCACAGAAATGCAAAAATTCTTTTTAGCTACCAAAGCATGCTAAAACACAAGTTATCTGTTCACTTGAAAAAGTGGAAGCATGAAGTACACACTGTGATCCTCATCTTGGTATACACTAGAGATATTTATGTCTCAGGTTTATGTCCAGGTCTACAACAGGAGAAGACAATCTTTTCCCTAAAAGAGCAGATAGATGCAATTTATGGGTTTGGGTTTTTTTAATCATGGAAGCAATTAAGTAACCCTCTAAGAACAGTACGCCCTAGGAAAAGATTTCATGAACCATTGTATATTGAAGAAACCCTGCTCCCAGACTGATATGCTGAGCAGCTAATTAATAGTTTAAAAGAAAATGCCATCCGCAGCAACACAGATGCTAGTGCAGAACGTCAGGACTATGGTACAAAAAGCAAGGCTCACTAGCAGTGTCGCATTGTTCCTCATGGCAGTGTCCTTCCTGGAAGCAACTCTAAAAATGCCAATGCTCCTTCCTCCCACCTCCTTCACCACCACCAAAATCATACAAAAAAGTAATAGCTTGATAAAATGAAATGGCCAGACAAATCTATGCTACACTGAGTTTTGATCCCATACATACACAAGTGCCAGAAATTCTGTATATTCTCATTAAGAGAGAGAAGTTCTATTGCCTTGGGTCCATTGTTAGTAATAAGTAGTGCTGATATGTAAGTCCTGAAAAGGAGTGTGTATGCTAGTTGACCATAAAGCTAGCAAAATAACAGCAACAAAAATGTAAATGGTAATGTTCCAAAAGTGGTAAAGGTGGCTACATGTATTTAACTACATTCATGTCATGAAATGCAGTGCCTACCAGACTGACAAATCAACAACTCTGAGAATGAATTTTTAATTGCCCCTATGTCAAGGTGATCTTTTCCCACTCCATTAGAAAAGAGACAAAAAGCCAAACACATTTTTGCCTCATGTTTCTTGATACTTTCTTTTTTAATACGATAAACTGAAAAATGTGGATTGCTTATTATTCTTGTCAATAAATACTTCTCTTAGAATGTCACTTTGCGGTTAGGAAAACTCAAATGCAGATTAGTCTTCAAACAAATAGGCAAGCCAGGGATGCAATATTTGCATACAGTCTTCCATTTTTCAGCATAGGAAAAAAAAATCATTCAAATGAGAAAAACAAAATATGCTTTCATGTGCTTTAATTTTACAACTATTTTTTCAGCCTCAATAGCTTGTAGTATGGCTTTAGAAGAAAGGAGATAATGTTTCACATATTTTTCTCATTTGGAACCCACCAATTTATTTCTGTGATTTTTGAATCAAAAGTAAAATAAACACATGATAAACCACGTAACACTTTTCAAAGCATACCCAATTAATCCTCACAATACTCCTGTGAGATAGGACTTTTATCACCACTTTTCAGATGGTGAGATTCTGGCAACAAAAGCAACCTTAAGCTAGCATCGCCTAATACGTAAAGCGTTGAGTTCTGCAACAATAACGGGCTTTTCTTTGTAGAATTTAATTTTAAAAATAATGGGAAGAAACTCAGAAGTTCCATCACAGGGCACCCTGCTGAATCCACAGCGAGCTGTGGGGCTGGGAGCACTCTGCCCATCTGGGCTCTTGTGCAGAGCAGCAGCTGTCGGGGTAAGTGGCCATGATCGTCTGCACGGAGCAATGTGTTTGAAGGAGGATGAGCCACGGGATTCCTGCCTCCCACTGCAGGGCCCAGAAAGTGCTCCCTTCTTGCACACCTGGAGATCACTGTCGCTTCCTGCCCCGTGACCTTATCATGTACGCCTTGGTCTCTGTCTCTTCAAACTTACTTAATACTGTCTCTCCAAAATCCCTGACTCTTCATCCCATCCTCCCTGCTTCTCCAGTTTTGTCTTGTAGCTCCCATCTTAGTTTCAGTCTTCTTGCCCAGTAGATCCTAATCTCTCTTGTCCAAACACGTCTCTCGATGCCTGATACCCGAGCAGCTTCAGCAACTCAAGCTGTATTTAGTCAGTGTCACATCCACTTATGGTCCCATCTGCGAATTTTTTTATCCTCCTTATCCTCCAAATTGTGACCCAGAGGGATCAAAGCCAGGAATTTAGCAACTAAAATGTTTTGACTGTGTAAACATGTGCATCCACTGTCATATCCTTGGCATAAATGACACCACTATATTGAGAAGACCAAACACAGAGCCTTGTTTTTTTTTTTAACGGAATGGTAAACAGATTTAAGGATTGAATTGTCCTTACTGGACAAAATTCTTCATGTTCTCAAAAATGGCTGAAGTTTCCTCTGAAAGAGTTCAACAGATGGAAGACATACCAAACAGTAAATGTAATTCTCCAGGGCTGAAAGTCATGAAGGTAAATTCAAACTGCATATCTAGTATTAAAATTGGGAGTGCATAGTAATGGTGGAAATTATATTTCTGCAAATGATGGATGTGTTTTCACTTTAGTTTTGGTTTCCACTGCACATTCTTTCTCCCCTCTCCAGTTGCTAAAATTTGTGTTGGGATTACTATTCACTAAATAAAACCTATGCAAGACTCAGGAGGACCGACCAAAATGAAATAGACTTATATAATTCACTGAGTTTGAAATCCAAATGAAGCTTCACAA